TGATGAATTGAAGGTCGGAGATGATACAGACTTTGCTAAGAGAAGTAATGGAAAGAAACATATCCCCAAAGGTAGAGCTTTAATACGAATTGGCCAGAATATGATGAAAGTCTTCCTTTTTCAAGACAGACCTCAATTTCAGTGTTATGATTAATGTAATCACTGCTTTTATTAGGGACAATTCTAGTAGTGGCTGCAAACTGAGAATGTTAAACTTGTATCATTGAAAGGATATACAGACACCATAGATATTATTCCAAGGCCTGATTAATATTTTCAGCAGTACTTGAAGTGCTGTCTTCTAGCATAGATCAGTTAAAGGCCTATTATCAAAAGAAGAATCTTGATACTCTGAATCATTAACAATATTTGGCCTTCTATCATTCATAGAAGACTTTGGAAAGAATTCAGGTTATCACTCTTCATTCCATCAAAATATATACTTGGTCTGCCAGTGAACTAGGCATTAATAGCCTTTTGCTGGCCCAACTCAAGTCGTAGATGACATGACAAAAGAATTTTGTTAGTCACTATTACCATCAGCAATGTCTACTTAATTCTTGGCATGACCTGGGATTAAATAATAGTCGTATGCTTAAATACGCTGTGGGTACACCTTTCCCTCAATTTTGTAAAAAATACATGTCATGTGCAAGAAAGTAGAGCTAGCCAGGTAATTGAGCTTTGAAGGGGAAGAACAAGGAGATGTTACTTAGCTCGTGTGAGGAGGAGGAAGAGTTGGAGATCTTTGGTATTAGAGTAGCAAATACCGGAGAAGGAAGTGTACGATTGAGTCAAATGGGGTGACTGAGCAACGAGTTAACAGAAGCCTTGGAAAAGGAGAGCCTAGGTACCTTTATAGTAATGATTCAGATTTGGTTTATACCAGAATTACTCTGGCTGAATGGTTGAGCTACCATGTTAAACCCTTGAAATGCTAGGGGTTTTTTTAAGTGAAGGTTTTAAAGACCTACAGTGAAAATAAAGTAAAAGAAATGTTAAAAGATTTTCTGAGGCCACCGACTTTTGGCAGTGTTTTCAGAACTTCAACGTTTCCCACTGCCTTTCTCAGCAAACACAGTGACTTCCATACTTGATGTGATTCTTGTACTCTCTGCCCTTCCGTCCCCTACCCCATTTCTCTCTCCCTCCTTTCTTTATCCAATACCCCCCGTTATCTTCCTTTATCCCCAAAGTCCATCCTCTCCATTCTCAGCTTCATCAAATAGGCCCTGATTATCTGTCCAAATAAGTGACATCTTAACATGTCTTTTGTAACAGCTTTTTTAAATATTACATTTAAAAAGAAATGATTGTCTAATAAATAAGGGGTAATGAAATAAACCAAGTTGTAGATGTGAGTAGTGTTGAATGACAACTCCCTAATCCCTTTAACATTTATTTCTGCCATTTATTTTCATTCCTTTACCATTTATTACTTGCTATGATTAGTAAAGTTTTGCTCTGTGTGGATTTTTAGGCACGTACCTGTTTGATAAAACAAGGAATGCTTGTATAGAAAGCAAATACAAGTGCAGCTGTTGTGGTGCTACCTGGTATAGGAGCCCTGGAGCTTTACACAACCGGTCTTCCCTGTCCCCTAAGGATTCTCTTGATGTTTCTCAAAAGAATAATATTTGAAAACCACTCACTTAGAGCACTTGTGCAAACATGTTTTTATTTACTTACAGTGTGAACTTAAATTTGAATTGTCTCCCTCAGTTCTGATATTTGACAAGTACAGGAAATCATTCTTTTCCTTAAGACCCAAAATTTTTGTTCTTAAAATTGAATTAAGAGTAACACTGGATTCTATACCTAAAGCTAATACAATGTTAATATGTCAGTTACTTTCAATTTTTAAAAAAGACCATCACTGGAAATAATGGCATCCAATCTAATTTTATGTTAGCACCAATAAGGAGCATTGTTAATTAGATTTATTTTTACTTTCTAGTCAAAGAAGATTGGAATGTCAGAATTACTAAACTACGAAAGCAAGTGGAAGAGATTTTTAATTTGAAATTTGGTAAGTAAAACACAGTGATTATGTCTGTTTAAAAACAAATGAGAGGCAGTGTCCTGAATGAATTATACCAGTTGAGGACCTAAAGAAGGAAAGTCCCGAAACTGAGTTTTAGTTTATTTCTGCTACTAAATTTGCCACTTAAACCAAGCAAGTTACTTTACTTCTCTTGGATTCAGTTTTCTCATGTGTCAAAACGGGAAAGGAAGGGAGGAGTTGGGATAAATCTCAGTTCCACTGTCTGTACTTCTAATCTGGCTAACACCATATGGCAAATAGGTTTCACCATTTGTTTCAACTTAGATTTGTTGACAGCGGTTTCCTGGAGCGCTGTCTTGAGAAGGATTCTGAGGAGGCTCAGCAAGTGTTTCAGTTGATTGGGTGTGTCTGTCATGGAGAAGGAAGTAAGGAGTGGGAGTAATAGCATTATTCCCGGGGTGTTCCCATCTGTCATTTTAATACCTCGTATTGACATTTGTGTCCTAGTTCAGGAATTTTGAATACTCTGCCTCTGATCTCTCTAACTTGGTGGGTTCTGCTTAGATGCATCTATGCAACTCTTATTGTTTAAACAGCAAACTTGCATCTAGATGACAACACAAAGGCTGGGTAGGTGCCATTTCAGTGTGGAATGGCTATAGTTCACTTCTGCTCAGAGCACAGAGATAATTTTGACTAACAATATAACCATCCTTTTGATTTGAAGTGTTAAAATGTTCCTCTTAAAAGTACTTATTTTTTAGGCTTGTTCTTCAGTTTTGTACAATATACTAAGCAAAATGCCTTCATATTAAGTGGATATTACTGGATTGTAGGGAACTTCTGTATAACATATTTGAGACTGCCTGGATGTGACTTATTGTGGTAATCATTTTGCAGTATATACAAATACTGTATCATTGTGTTGTATACCAGAAATTAATAAAATATCGTGTCAGTTATACCTCAATAAAAAATAAAAGATTAAACTTTACCTTCCATAAATTATGTTTTCTTATAATTTCAGCTCAAGCTCTTGGACTCACAGAGGCAGTAAAAGTACCATATCCTGTGTTTGAATCAAATCCTGAGTTCCTTTACGTAGAAGGCTTGCCAGAAGGAATTCCCTTTCGAAGTCCTACCTGGTTTGGAATTCCACGACTTGAAAGGATTGTCCGTGGCAGTAATAAAATCAAGTTTGTTGTCAAAAAGTAAGTTCTATTTGCCAATGTAGTCATTTCTGAAGTTAAAATGATAAGGTTATATTTATATTTAAATTCTAGCTGTATGTGACAGCTAAGGCTTTGACGTCCATGATGGAAAAACATAGCCCTGAGCTACAGTGCTGGCATTGTTCATTGCCTTTGCAAATAAATCTTTTCACATGTACTTGGTTTTTCTCCATTAGTGCAGGGAGACTTGTACCACCTGCCTCACAATGGTGGTTAGTTGGGTAGAGACACTGATGTTCTTAATATTCCTAAATACTTGATTGGAGGATGAAAATGCTAATTTTTATCTTCACTCTTATTCCTGGTTAAACTTCTGGGCAACTGAATTTCAGTGATCAAGTTCCTCATCTGTATGTCTCCAGAAATTTAGTAGCTGAAGAAACTAGTATTAATTTTCATTTTCATGAAAGCAGTTATTTACTCTCCCTAAAATCATTTTGCAGGTAGTTAAGGGAAGGAAAAGTGAGAGATTTTTTGTTCAGAAAGATCGATATTATTGTTGCAAACAGAATGATTCTGTGATCACCTTTATAAAAACCATTGGTCATGATCATTTCTACTAGCTGTGAAAACCAATATTGCACTGGTTACTGTAATGCTTCTTGGTTTTCTCTCTAGACCTGAACTAGTTATTTCCTACTTGCCTCCTGGAATGGCTAGTAAAATAAACACTAAAGGTAAGAGATTATATATACTCTTTATTATACTTCAGTGCAATAAAACATTCTTTATCAGCATTACCTAAGTCATACTGAATCAGTGGCCAATATTTTTAAGTTATATTTTAATTAATGGACCTTTTTCCACCTCCAAAAAAATTTTCATTGAAAATTTCATGTTTGCAATCCTCCTTCATTAATGTTTCCACAGCTTTGTTGAGACTCATGTGGAGGATTACACTACCAGTTTAATTCTTCAGATTACTTTGAAAAGAGCCAAGCTGTATGAATTTTAATACTCTGCTCTTCTAAAGCTTCCCCTCCTGTTTCTTTTACAATATGCAAAAGTAATCGTGTGCTTACTTTACATTTACAGCCTTGCAGTCCCCGAAAAGACCACGAAGCCCTGGGAGTAATTCAAAAGTTCCTGAAATTGAGGTCACTGTGGAAGGTAAGGCCAATTTGTGGCATGCTTGTGTTGATTCTCCAGTTCTTCACTAGTTATATCTCTTGATTCTTCCGATTACTATTTATATTTTTATGCACATGAGTTTTTATAAAACTGGTTTTCGGTATGAATTAGCTACCTGTGATTAAAACTAAGTTTCTGAATGTTTCTAATTGAAATTTTCAAAAGGGTCAACATGATATTTCTTGAGCATATAGTAAACTCTAAAATGCCTTTCTTTCCTAATAATGCAGTATAGATGCAGACAAGCATGTATGGAATTTTTTTCTTATCTCCATTTTTTCCTATTCTTTTCAGGAAAGGAAGTTTAGAGATGGTTTAAACAGCAGTACCTTGGATTAAACTAGTTTCTTCTGCATCCTCAGGTTCACTCTCTTCTCTCCACTCCCATTGGATCTGTGGGATTCTTTTTCATGTTCACAGTATTAAAGTACTTCATATGATATTATAGACAATATTCAGCCTCCTCTTAGGTGTGGATAGCTCCTTCTGTCTCTTCATTAAGTAAAAGGAAAGGACAACTTCATTAAGATAATTATTTTTGTCACATGATCTCAAGTTTTGTAATAAGAATTTTCTTGTTGATAGTGAGTAGAACCTTAGTCCACCCCCATTTAGTTATCTTATATATTCAACAGAGAACTTACTTTTTCACATGAAAGGCATCAGGGCTCCTTGGGCAATTTATGGATATCATACACTGGTTTAATCATTTCTGTTAAAAATTGCCAAGAATTAAAGTAAAATGTACTCAATTCTTTCCTCTCTTTGAATAAGATCTGAGGAAGATATCTCTAATACACAAGTTTAGCATACTTTCCTGAAGGAACTCATAAGTAAAAAGTAAGTTGCTTGTGGTGTACTTGTATTAGAAATACACAGATACTGAGCAATCAGACAGATCAGGGCTAGAAACCGTAAAAGATTTCAACAATATGAACAGTGTGATACTGCATAAGGTGTTGATGGAAGCTCATAAAGAAGATTACATGTAAATTATGAGTAGAATATCTCCAGGCAGAGACACAGGAATGCTGTTCCTGAGAGAGAGCCTAGCATGAGCAAAGGTGCTGATTAAATACAGTAACACAGTTTGACTAATGACTAATAATCTCATATTCTCAGGAGCATAGTTTTGTATCTTGTTCCAACTGTACTTGTTAGGAATTTTTAAGGTATCAGTGGCCAGAAGAACTAGCTGATTCTAGTGTCATAACAGTTGTGTTCTTCAAAGGATCAATCCATGTTGTCTTCATTTGATAGATTAATGAGTAAAGCAATTAAGGGAGTAATGGTCCCATAACTTCTCTAGGGTTGTGAGATTAGAGGTCACAGAGTTCAGAAGGAAAGGCGGAGTGGTAAGATGACAGGCTACCATGAAGTTGAATAACACATGCTTCGGTTAAGAGATAGAAAAGGTGTTTTGCAATGTAAGTGTATTCTTTGATAGGAGTAAGGGTGACATAAAAAAAAAAAAAAACAGTATGTACCTCAAAAAAGGAGAGACTACTGTGTCAAAGAACCCTGTTAGAGCTACAAACTTATTTTAGGACATTCTGAACATTAACAAAGGCTTAAAACCTATACACAGAGGATAATATTTAGTAAAGGTCACTACAACTTCTAAACTGTTTTTTCTCCTCTTTAACTAGTATAAAGTTACATTGTGTATACAACAGTGTCCTGATCTCAAATTAATCTGTGGGTATTAAATATTAAAGTTGGGGGAAAATGAAACAGTTGATATATACCGTTTTTATAGGTGCTGTACAGTAATAGCGCATTAGAAACAGCACATTTTTAAAAAATAGATTAATTTGCAGTTATCAGTTGGCACACTAGGTATATACTTCTGGAGGTTATTACTCTTGTATTTTCAAATTTTTCATCCATTGAGCTGTTAAAGCTTACTAAGTATAAATAAATTCCTGTTTAATTAAGTGTTAGAAAAAGAAGAGTTAATATAATGGGTTAAAATGATTAGGCCTATAGACATAAGGTTACCATAAGGTTTAGGATTGCAAAAAAAATAAAAAATAAATAAATCACTATTGCATCTAACAGTGATTTTACAAACAAAGACATACTTGTTTTTCTTACATAAAAATATTTTTGAAGGTAGGTTACCTTCAGTAGTTTCAAAAACTAGGAGAATAGCTTCTCTGTTTCTTCTAGGCCCTGTCTGTATGGGTACAGAATGACCACTTGAGTTCAGTGATCACATCTACATTCATGGCAAGATATAGATAGAAGATATTCAGCCTTGCCTGGACTCATTGTTAGAAAAAGCAGGACACCTTTCTAGAATCCCCTGGCAGGTTTTTGCTTGAGTCTGTTTGGGGGGCGGGGGTGGGGGGGTGTGGTGAGGAAGGAGAACTTAAAGCACAAACTTTCAAAGCCAATACATTTGGATTTAAATTTTGGCTCTATCATTTAGGTAAATTACTAAAAATCTCTGTTTTAGCTAGTAGATCTGTAAATTGGCAGTAAGAGTAGTAGTTAACTCAAGCTGTTTTTCAGTTGAGATATAAATCACAAAACAAAATTCACCATTTTAAAATATACCATTGAGTAATTTTTAGTATATACATAAGGTTGTACAACCACCAGTACTGTCTAATTCCAGAACATTTTTATCACCTAGAAAAAAAAAACCATATTCATTTACAGTCGCACCCCATCTCCCTACCAGTGATCTACATTTTTGTTTCCATGGATATGCCTATCCTGGACATTTCATATAAGTGGAATCATATAATATGTGGTTCTTCATGACTAGCTTCTTTTATTTAGCATAATATTTTCCAGGGTCATCTCTGTTGTACCATATGCCATCCACCCCAACTTTTAAAAAGTGGTGGTTAAATATGTATGACCTAAATTTTACTGCTTGAACCATTTTTAAGTGTACAGTTTTGTGGCATTAGTACATTCATGTTGCTGTATAATCATAACTGCCGCTCATCTCCAGATCTTTTTCATTTTCCCTACCAAATTCTGTTAAACAGTAACTCTCCCTTTCCCCCCTCACCCCAACCCCTGATGACTTATCCTACGGTAGCTTTCTATAAGTGCACTCTGAATTTAATTTATATAGATTAAAATACTATAAAATAGTTGTTAGTATTTTAAAGTGATTTTACTAGTGAATAATTATGTCTATATCCAGGAACCTTTTGTCAGTTTAGTGATAAGAAGGAGTTATTTTGTTTGTACCTTTATTTATATTTTGTTTTAAATAATACATCATGCTTAGAAGTGGAATTTTTTTATTACTTTAAAAATGCAGTTTATTACATATAATTTATACATGAGAAAATGCACCCATTTTAGTTATACAGTTTGAGTTTTGAAAAATGTTTGTATCATCACTTTAGTTAACATATAGAACAATTTCCATCACCCTAAAATGTTTCTCCCATGCTCCTCAGCAGTCAGTATCTTGCAAGTCCAGGCCATAGGCAACCACTGATCTACTTTTCGTCACCACAGAATACTTCTGCCTATTGTAGAATTTCATATAAGTGGAATATTACTGTATCCTTTTTATGGTTGGCATCTTATGCTCAGCATAATGTTTTTAAATTTATAATTATTGTTGCCTGTTGTATTTCCTTTTATTACTGAGGATCACTGTCTCGTATGGATTCCCCATATTTTGCTTATACATTTGTCAGTGGACATTTGGGTTTATTTCCAGCGTTTGTCTAATAAAGACATCATGAATATTTGTGTATCGAATGTGTCATATCCTTTTCTTCTCATGAGTAGATATTTAGGAGTGGAATTGCTGGGTTTCTATTTTACTAAGAAATTGCCCAACAGTTTATATCAGTGTGGTTGTATTATTTTAAACTCCTGCCAGGCATGTGTCGAAATTCCAGTTGCTACACATCCTCACAGTACTTGGTATTGTCATTTTTAAAAATTTAGCTTTTCTTGTATACAGCCATGCCACCCTGAACAAGCCCAATCCTGTCTGATCTCAGAAGCTAAGCAGGGTCAGGCCTGGTTAGTACTTGGATGGGAGACCACCTAGGAAGACCTGGTGCTGTAGGAGTAAAAAAAGAAAAAGATTTTAGCTATTCTTGTGTATAGTGTTATTTCACTCAAGCGTAAACCAGAATTGCAGTTTATTGATTTAGAATATGAACTAGATATTTTAGCCAACTAAATTCTGTCAGCCAATCACAAGTTTCTTCCTGTTTTGCCCTGTCAATATTAAGAGGTTGCTTCAAGAGCATGGAGTTTAAGCAGAGATGTTAGTTGGATGACTTTAATAGCCCATTATAGAACTATAGTTAATGGAATGTACTTATTTCCTCTGTATTATTATTATGCGTATCAGGTAAACCAGGTTGCTAGGGCCAGGTGGTCCAGAAACACTTTGCTTTCATCACTATACTATCTAAAGTAGCTGTGTTTTTTATCCAGGAGTTTTGAGATAAAGAATGTTGAATGTTGACATTTCATGGGGGATGACAAATAAATTTCATCTTCATCCCCCATTCCCATCAGAAATTCCTAGTACTCTTATGGATTCTGAGTCCATATCTAGGTTAAGTAAAGAAGATAAGAGTGGCTATATGTATGCTGTGTATTTGACATCCATTATTTAGATCTAGGAAATGATTCATGAAAGCCCTGTCCATAAGTATGCTGGGGAGATAGTGTAGTGGCGAAGGCCGAGGAGTCAGACTTTGAAGGTTGGTGTTCCAACTCCACCACTTACCAGCGGTGTGATTGACTATAAGTTACATAGTCCCCATGACTCAATTTCTCCATCAGTAAAGTGGAGATGGTAACGATGTCTGTAAAAACTTAATTAATACATATATTTGCTATAGTGACTGGTATGTATTTCTAGCTGTTAGTAACATTACTGCAGAAATTACTCATCAGGCAAAAGTCTTTATGTGAAGGATAGCCATAAGAAGTAGATGACTTAATAGAATGATAAATTAGGTGAAAGCCCAGAGACTATACAAATATTTTTTTAATTGGAAAATCCAATTTCAGAATGTATCGTTAGAATGTTGATTATTTTATAAAGAAATCTGAAGATGCTTAATTTCTTATTATCTCGGCTCTTTTTTAAAATTGTTGACTTACTTCAGCTTAAGATAAGTTTGTTGTTTAAGCATTAGATGACCTGCATAAAGAAGAGTTAGGGCCGGGGGTTTATGAGAATAACTGAAACTAACATTCATTTTCATTTAATGGAAAAGAACTAATTACTTATAACATTGTTTTTAAGACGTACTATGAATTCAAAGAAAGAATATGTGAGTCAGCTAGGTAATCTAAAGGAAAACTTCTTAGTGGAAATAATATAATTATACCTGATGTTGTGTTTATGTTCAAGAGTTGAAAGAAAACCATATAAGCAAACATAGGTAACCAAAAATTACATGGCTCCAAGAGGGCATGACAAAGCATTAAGTAAATTGAACGTATCTCAGATGAGCCAGAAAGCTAATTCTGTTTTGGAGGAGAATGCCTGATTGTAAGGATGGAAGTAGAAAAATGGATGGAGGTCTATGGAGCTAGCAGCAGTGCCTGTTTTCATTGCAGGGTGCTTATATACCATTTGAACTTAACTTTGTTTGTCAGTATATGCTAGACTTCAATAAGAATGATTAAATATGTGTGGTGATTATGTTGTTTGCTTTTTAATTCTTCTTTAGGCCCTAATAACAACAACCCTCAGACCTCAGCTGTGCGAACCCCTACCCAGACTAATGGTTCTAATGTTCCTTTTAAGCCTCGAGGGAGAGAGTTTTCCTTTGGTAAATGTCCATTTTATTTTTTTTATTTCATAATTTTAAATAAAAGGAATTAATACAAATATTTTACTAGGCGAATTGTTTTTGTAAGTCAGTATATATTGACAGTCAAAGGCACACAGACTATAGAGTCAGACTGCTTGAGTTTAAATTCGGTGCCATTATAGTTATAATTCTGTAACTTTGGGCAAACTGCTTAACTTTTCTGTGCCTCAGTTTCCTTTTTTGTAAATGGGGATAGCATTACTTCCTGCTTCATCAGGTTATGAGGATTTTAAATACTAAAATATTTAATGGGTAGAATTATACCTGGCCCATAGTAGATACTATAATTGTCTTTTGGGAGATTTTTTCTGCTTTGTTTTTTAATTTACTTTAGCATACGTCATTTATTTGTAGCCAACATATTAGTTATATAATAAAACATTTTAATAATGTGTCAAGATTAAAGTAGTTATCAAGACATGACTTAAAAACTTGTGTATTTTCTTATCTTATACTTCTTAAAGATGTACAATAAAATAAGATGAAAAATCCTGATCATGGATATGTATTGGTAAATATTACTAACAACTTAATTATTTTGTTTTTTTACATGCAGAGGCATGGAATGCCAAAATCACAGACCTAAAACAAAAAGTTGAAAATCTTTTCAATGAAAAATGTGGTAAGTTTATTTTGAAACATTATTATTAAAATATAAGGTAGCTTTTAAAAAAATTTATTATTAGTTTCAAGTATACAGTACATTGGTCAGATGTTTATATAGTTTATAAAACGATCCCCCTCATTGCTCTTTCTCTCCTCTGGCTCTCCACCTAGTCATTACATTAATGCTTCCTGCATTCTCTATGCTGTGCTCCCCATCTGTCAACTACTAATTTGTACTTCTTTAACTCTTCACCCCATTCTCCCAGCCCCGCAATCCTAAGATAGCTTTTTTAAATAGAAGAACGTGAGCAGAGTAAAATGTTCAACACTTAAATTATGCTGTTGTTGGAGGTGTATGGGTTTTGCAGGCATGAATTTCATAATCTTTCCTGCTTTTCTGAGCACCAAGAAATTTTTAAAAATTAAAATTAATGTGACTTTTAAAAAGAATGTAATTTTAGTAGCCACAACATATAATTTAAAATATATTTTTTTAAAAGGTTTAGTTTTTAATTAGTTACAAATATGAGAAATGTATGTGTGTATTTTATAGGTGAAGCTCTCGGCCTTAAACAAGCTGTGAAAGTGCCATTTGCATTATTTGAGTCTTTCCCAGAAGACTTTTATGTAGAAGGCTTACCGGAGGGTGTGCCATTTCGTCGACCATCTACTTTTGGCATTCCAAGGCTGGAGAAGATACTCAGAAACAAAGCCAAAATTAAGTTCATTATTAAAAAGTAAGGAAATTAGATGAATTAGTATTGACCGTGAGTTGAGAGTGTTTGCCACTGGGAGATCGGTGCATGGATTCACCTTTGCAGCAGGGCCAACTTTTAACCCTAGTGTCAAAAAGGCTCTTTTAGGCTGTACTTTTATATATGTTTTAAATTTTCCATATTTGGTTGAAAGAGTAAGGAGGGCTCTAGCTTATCAGAGGAGTAACAAATTGGTTTTGTTAAATCTGCCCACAGTCATATTTTTAATGGTAATGCTGATGTAATCTAAGCAGTGGTTCAGTTATATAAAACCCTTTTATTCCTCCAACTTAAATAGTATTTTAAATTTCTCTCCTATTTACTTGGAGATATATGAATTAAGTCAACACAGTTGAAATAGATGGGAATAGTTAGAATTAGAAAATACCTATAGATATTCAAAAATTATTTAAAGTTAATTGAAATGAACTTTAGGTTTTGTTAACACTTAATTTTGAGTCACCTGGAGATGTTGTTAGATAATCAAAGCTGACATCGCCAAGCATGATGGTCACCTTTTGTAATTTTGTCCAGGTCTGTAGAGGTGTGGCCTCTGCTTCCCCTTCCTGATACAGAAAGACTCCTTTGCTCAAGTTTTGACAGCCTATCTTAAGTTTCCATGGTACCCGCATGCAAGGCGCTTCCTATTTCCATTCTCAAGTCTAGCACTGAATATATCCAGGGTGTCATGAAACCATGGGAAGAAGAAACTATTTAAATTAGATAGTGCTGAAGTGGATGTTATAATTAGTCTTTTTGTGTGTGTTCCTTTAGAGAACCTTGCTTTTTTGTTGTTCTTTATTACTAAAGACCTAATGTATACTTATAGAGAATTACTGGCTTTTCAAATCATTTACTTGTTTAATTTTTAATGTTTTACTGTTGGATTATTAGCACACATGTTTTTTCTTTTGTTTTTAGGCCCGAAATGTTTGAGACAGCAATTAAGGAGAGCACCTCCTCCTCTAAGAGCCCTCCAAGTAAGTGTTCTTGCTACAGAAAACATACTGTTAGAAATTGGTTTGTAGCAGTGGTTAAAAAATTGTTTAAAGAATAGCTATTGAGATAAAACCAGGAAAGCTCATTCAGAATTGGGGTTGTGACTAGTTGATAATTTCAGTCCTTTGATAATTGAGAATCTGTTGGTGACTGATGCTGTACTAAGCATCAGAAGGAAGAGAAAAGGTTAAAAACAGTCTTTCAGGAAGCTTAATGATGCTGAATGACAAAACATTCCATGAAAAAAAAAAAAAACAAACTTTCAATAAAAGTTGGGTTAAAATGCTATTTTTGTGTAGTCTGAATTATAAGCACATTATTAGAGAAGATATTATATTTTGTACATGTTGTAATCTTAAATTTCTATTTTAAGGAAAAATAAATTCGTCGCCCAATGTTAATACTACTGCATCAGGTGTTGAAGATCTTAACATCATTCAGGTGACAATTCCAGGTATGATTTCTCTGCCTTTAGCACAGTTTGTGGAGTGTTTTCCTATTTAGTTTTTTTCACTTTCATGATAATGGTCACTGGAATTTGCTCAAGTCATTCAGGGATGTCAAGTATAATAGCACCTTGCTGCGTTCTCTTTCCTGCCCCCAACAAATTGTTAACCAAATACATTACTTTGTCAGTTTATTTCTAAACAGCTCTAGGCATTAATGGACTTGCCAAGTAAAACCTGTTGACCACCACCCAGATGCCTAGTGTGTTTAAAAAATCAGTATAAAGCAGTAGGTAAAACTTTTTATGATAAGAATAAAGCTGTAGCATTGTTGGTGGTGGTGGTGGTGGTGTTTTTGTTAAATCGTTTGGTTAAATCATTTTAATCTTGACCTGTTTAAAATATTCCAAAAAGTGAGTTACACATAAAAATTTACTTAGACTAAAATAGCATTATTAAGTTTCATGTTTTAACTGTTTTTAGACGATGATAATGAAAGACTGTCTAAAGTTGAAAAAGCTAGACAGCTAAGAGAACAAGTTAATGACCTCTTCAGTCGAAAATTCGGTAAGTTTTTCATTTGTATAGTACAACTTGCAAAAAGCAAGGAAATTTTGTTTCAATGTTATTTTAACAGTAAATTATGCTCAGATAGTTGTAATCTTACTATAAAAAAATAAAATTATAACTATTTTGGTTTTGCTAAAGCTTATATGTAAGGCTGTTTGAAGTGTACAAAAACCTTAGTTAACAGTGGAGGAAGTCTTTAAAATAAATGTTGGCCATGTGCTTTTTAAACATTCCCTAAGATGATAGGTTAATCTGTGTTTTTATGCTGTTTGTCTCATTATAGGTGAAGCTATTGGTATGGGTTTCCCTGTGAAAGTTCCCTACAGGAAAATCACAATTAACCCTGGCTGTGTGGTAGTTGATGGCATGCCTCCTGGAGTGTCATTCAAAGCTCCCAGCTACCTGGAAATCAGTTCCATGAGAAGGATTTTAGATTCTGCTGAGTTCATTAAGTTCACAGTCATTAGGTGAGTGAGAGTTTCCTGCTTGGTCATCAGAATGAACCTGCAGATCATGATGCTAAGTCATCCTCCAGAAGGTAGTCATATGTAGTAATAGAATCAAGTTTACCATGTAATGAAACGAACAAATAAAATACTTTAGTTATTATACTGTTAGATTCTCTCTTCTCTGTGCTGATTCTTTTAATTCTCCAGTTTTTAAGGCAAGGTGTTAGCAAACCATGGCCTGCCTGTTGACCAGATCCAGCCTGCCTCCTGTTTTTATAAAGTCTTGTTCAAACACAGTCACATCTGTTTATTTACATATTGTTGTCTGTAGCTACTTTCATGTTATAGTGGTAAAACTGAGTTGTTGAGGCAAAGGCAGTATGGTCTATGCAAAGTCTTAAATATTTATTATCTGGCCCTTTACAGAAAAATTTTGCCAGCTCCTGTCCTAGGCATCTCAGGAATTCGATCCTAAGGCAGCTGGGTCATTTCTGTTTCTTCGTCTGTACGATAAAATTGTAAAGGTTTCCTTTGAGAGCATCATCAGCTCCTTACCCACAGAGTAGGCATGATGATTATACCCACCCTCTAACAGCATTATGAGAATTACATTACTAGTATGTGCTTATCACAGTAAGTATTCAGTAGATGTCCTCTTTGCTCTCCACCTAAGGAAAAAGTCCCAAGGTATCTTCACTCTTCTCTTCTAACTCACAAAAACTTGGCAATCAATAAATCTGCCCCAGTCAGTTCATTATCAAGTTCCCACTGTCTCAAGTATAAAATACTTAGCACTACACTCAGAAATAGCTCATGTATTACCTTCCCAAGTCTTTTTCTTATCCAGTCCCATCTTCTTTCATTACCCTTTCCCTAAAAATTCCATGTTTTTGTCCCACTTAACCAATGTTTACCCAGGGATCTGAGAAAAGGCCTACTTTCATTAAACCATTTCATTAGAATTACTCTATTCCCTTTTCCTTGTTTCTATTTTTTTGTTTTTCTACCACCTTTAATGTAACATTTTCTAATAATGTTCCATATTAGCTCTTCATTTATTTTTATATTTATCGAATAAAAAGTATAAGATTAAAAAGTAGTAGATAATATTTTTCATTTTATCACTTGTGATGGGTTAAATATTAGTTGTATAAACTGAATATATTCTTGTAGAGTGAATATAAACTTATAATTTCTTTCCTTAGACCATTTCCAGGACTTGTGATTAATAACCGTGAGTACTTCATAAGTCTTGTTTTCTTTTCTGGAATGTGAGAAAGTTGGATGTGTACTTATGCACTTAGCTCACAGAACATAAAATTTTATTTCACCTGTAACAGTAACCATGCAAATGCAGACTCATTGTAAGTTTAGCTCTCAGTGTTAAAGCACCAGGCACCTTCTAGACATAAAATTGGGCAAGTTGCTTAACTTTTAAAATCTCAGTTTATTCATTCACAAAATGGTAGTGATATTAGTACCCATTTGGAGAGTTTTAGAGCATTTTAAATGACTCATATGTCAGGCATCTAAAATAGGAATCAGCAATCTCCTGCCCATGCTTGTAAATAAGTTTTATTAAAACACTACCAGGCCTATTTGCTTATGGCAAGAATTAAGAAGTTGCAACAGAGAATTTGTGACCTGCAAATCCTAAAATTTACTAACTGGCTCTTTATGGAAAAGTTTGTTTACCCCTAACTTAGAACAGTTCCCAGCCTTAGCGAATGTCCTCAGTAAATACAATCTATATTCGTTATTATTACTACTACTGTTGTTACTTTTACTGTTGTTATATAATTGCTGTATTGGAATAAGTAGTAGTCTTCTAAATGGGATTTATCTTGCTTCTATAACTATTAAGCATAGCATCTGGTAGACATTGTGCTCCTAACTATTGTTGCATGAACAAATTGAAGTGTTCTTCCAGTTCCCTGGTGCTCATATTATTTTCAACAGTGTTTTTAGCAAAACTTAAGTGTGCTAGAATGTTTTATGTTCTATTAACTTTATTAAACTTTATAAAGTGAGAATGATCCTTTTCTAATACCATTGGCATTTCAGTTTTTTCTTCTAATTGGTGTTATTATTCTAACTCTTTAAAATCCATTGAGTATTCACTCTATAGTTTATTCATTGGGAAAGTGTAAGCCTCTTTAATTTCATGTTCAGGGGTTTTCAGTGACCATTGAGCAGCAGAGCCTTATGAATTGGTTTGCCCCCCGACCTGAGATATGTGCTGTCATTAGACCTGTTCCCTGCCATTCTGTATTTCTTCACACTGTTGACCCTGCTCTCTGACTTTCATTTTTCAGGGTCAAGGATTTGGTTACATCTCTTCTGCCTCCAAGTTTTGAGTTCTGCTTTATCATAAAATTTATTCATTTGTTTGTACTCCCAATCCCTGAGTTCTTTTTTTTATGGATTCTGTTTTTAGTATACCCTCTCTTTTGACCAAGTATGTTAGTACCTGGTAATATCAGTAATTAAAGAGAGGTATATCTTACCCAATAGATTTTAAATCATGTTTGTGACATTCAGCTTTAATCACACCAGGGAACTTTGTTCATTTAAAAAAATCCCATTATTTATTTTTTTTCTTTCAAATTTTTTTATTAATCTCAATTCACCTATCTTCTGTGTAATTTTTAAAGAACATTGTATTTTAAGCTTTTTCTGCCCCTTTTATGTTTAAAATGTTTAATTTTGTTCTTATCCTTGTACAGTAGTCTAATATAATTTTGTAGTAATTATTATGAATAAGTTATTTTGATAGGACATACCAGAATTCTTAATGTTTGTTCCCTTCTTGTCATAAGGAAAATAGTGCCTATTATGTTATGACAAAATTAGAATATCAAAATAGAGAATGTATGTAAAAATGCTTTTAAAATATAACATCATGTCATTAATTACTAAACAAATTTGTTTTATTTTCAGAGTTGGTTGATCAGAATGAGTCAGAAAGCCCAGTGATCCAAGGTAAATTAAGCAGGGTAAAACATAGAAATATTCCTACTTTTTCAGTAAAATGGATTAGATAAGATTATATGGCCTTACATTCTTACATTTGCCTAACTTAAGGAATCAGTTACACAGAACACATAAGTGTGTACACACACACACACACACACACACACACACACACACACGTAGACTTTGTTTCTTTGACTCCTACGTTTGAAAGCCTGTTATAATCTCAATCTGTAGGTCCTGATTGAGAACTGGACCACATGCCATTTGATCCCACTGTCCTAGGTCAGGTAAAATAAATCAGGAACCTTAAAACCGATGGCATAGAATGTAATTTTTGAGTGAGAAGGTCATCTTTTAACTTTACTCTTTATGCCATTTGTTTCTAGTGGTAATTGTCAGCCAAACTGTGCTAGGAGAAATGCATATATTATAGTTTTAAATTTTTCTTAGAAAAAAGTGATTGGGCTTGCTACTCTGATTCATTGAAAGTAATGAAAAGCTTTTATTAAAAGGAAGCTCACAGAAGAAAGTGGGGTGGGAAGACATAAAGAAGAAGCTTCTTTCTTTCACATTAGAACTGTACCAATTAAGATTATTATTTAAGACTGCTTTTGCTTGTATATGCTAACTTAAAAAGTTTTAGAAAAGTAGAATTTTGAAAGTTTAGTTGAGTAATTGTGTGTTTAATCCCAAGAACCTGTGGCTGTTGTTTCATCTTAGACTGGAGAACTTTCTCTCCTCTTCTTCCCTCTTATCTTTAAATAATTGAAAGCCATTTTTGAACAGTGTTACAGTAAATCTTTTTGTGTTTCTCTTCAGAATCAGCTGAACCAAGCCAGTTGGAGGTTCCTGCAACAGAAGGTAAAAAGGGTAGTCTGGTTGTCAAAAAATGAAGTTCCTTAAGACTTTTATTAGGACAAAGGACTAATTGTGTTTTTATATCTTTTAAACTAGAACTGTAGTGGTTTTGTTCTTTTGTTTTTGGGTGAATTGGATTTGTAGCTTATGCCCAGAAACATTGTGTTCAAAGATGACTCATGGTTTCTTTTGCTCCATTTCCCCTAAATGACTCTTCATGAATTCTGAAACAGTGGAATGACTACTATATAACCTCGATAGTGCTGATCTTTTACATACATAAGTAATAAGGTGTTTGTTACTTTGAAAACATGGTAGCAAATTTTAAAACTTACTGCTAGAGAAACATTGTTGAAATCTCTGAAAACATTATTTTTAGTGCCTTGTTATTTCTTTTAAATCATATTAGTAAATAGTTTGGTATGAGTGGATTTATAATTGAGCAGGTTTACATTAATAATACAATGAAACAGTTCCCTTTTGTTTTTCTTGATAGAAATAAAGGAGTCTGATGGAAGCTCTCAGATCAAGCAAGAACCAGACCCTACGTGGTAGACCTCTTCCCTCCTAGGGTAACTCAACTTCTGTGTCTGGGATGCCATGTAGTGTCCATCTGAACACACCTGCATATTCATAAGCTAATTTGTTTTCCCTGCTTCAGCCATAAATGGTGACCTCACCTTCAGGGCATGTGAGGTCCAAGTATAAGCCATATCACATGGTTTGAGCTAGAAGATTCAAGCAGAGATTTTCCTTGGATCAATATATGTCTGTCAATCAAAGATGTAAATGTACTTTTGCCTTAAAAAGAAAATATTTTGTTTTAGTCAGCAGGGTAAATCTTGTCCTCACCATTGGAATTCACCAAGTCAGTATTACTACGCTGACTTTTCCCCTTATCGTCATGGTAGTATTTGCAGAGTCTGGCTGAGCTGCACAGTCCATTGTGCTTCTTGTTGTGTAGTTAAGTTATATGCCTGATCCTATTATTCTAGACTTCTTAAACTTGGCCAGGTTGATAATAGGAGTCACTAGATTGGGAGTCAGCAAAACTTGCTTCTCATTTCTATTGAATTTCACTAAGCCTGAGCTGTTGAATGTTTAGGTGATAGTTAACAGGACACAGCTTGACAGTATTGATCTGTACCTGACAAGGCATTTTTTTATACTGAGACTTTTTTTGTCATGCTATTTGCTATGTATTATCAGTTCATGGATTTAAGTGCTAAGTTGTGATATGTATGAATGTTAAATTTCTATAATCAGATTAACCTGTTTTCTTGCTTGTTTGTTTTCTCTCCTGTTTTAGCTTAAAGTATCAGTGGGTGAGAAGAGCTTTTCGGACCTGTTACTGCCCCAAGCTGTGTAATATACTTGTATAACAGAAATACCTTCTATACAAACCTTTTTTTCTACTTTTAGATAGAAATGTCTACTTTTTCAGCAGTTCTGTGAATTGAATTAAAGAGCAGAGTGACTGTAGATTTGGAATGGCTGGTTTACTTTGGAATGTATTATAAGGATTTTACAGCAATGCTGGAAAAACGACAGGGAAAATGACAGGGATGAATCTCACCAGATTTTTTTTATGGATTCAGCAGAGCCTTCAGCTATGGTGTTTATTTTCCAATCAAGTGAAGATATCTCTTACTGGAACATCTCAGCTTCTGCAGTGAAGAAAACACCTGTGATAGTTTAGTTCTTTAGTTTTTCTATTTGAAAAATCATTTAAATGATCCTTTTGTTCACGGCTCTCCTTAATGACTGAGTGAACAGTTAGTATCTGTATATTTGACTAAACCTTTTCCTAAGCTATCTATCATGGTTCATACGTTTTTTATCATAATTAAAAAACAACCATCTGGATTATCTAATAGCCGGTAAGAGGTCAGTATCTCAGTGTGTGGCTTATAGATGGAATACAGAGAACCTCTTCCACATTTACTTTTCATCCAAATAAAATGCATGGTGTACCAGAAGTTTAAGATCAGGTATGACTGTTTGGGCAAGCTAAATGACACTAAAGCCTCACTATCATGTAACCTGTTGTGGTGTGGATTTCTTTGGAACACTGTTCCAGCTTGAATCAATCTCAAGGGGTTTTCATTGCCGTCATTATTTTATAATTCTACTTGTAAAATTGAGGCTCCAGTGTGGGGAATGAAGGGTCATAAGCTAATTATGCACCCACTGATATTCTGCGCCATTTGTAGGAGAATCTTACACATGTTGAGATTTCACAGACAATAAGAGTTGTAAAATCCAAGCTATATGAAAAGCTAGAGTATGTGATGGCATAGAGTGTTCATTAGCTTTATCACAATATTCACAATGGAGAATTATATTACATGGTAGCAGGGATAGGCATTTTTATGTGTTGCTTATATTTTACCTCAAATTAAAATGTAGATATAGGGTAATAAATAAAATCCATCCATGCCTTTCACACACTAATTCATTTCTTTCTAAGGTGTTTTCATGATTATGTGTGGGGAAACTTGGCGGGTGGTTGGTGGTAGGTGGAATACAAGATGAGGGTTAGGTCGGCACTGTTTGGAGGCTCAGGTCCTCACAAGGACACCATCGTTCATGGTGTTTCTGAGACCACTATGCATCTAGTTCAAGCTGAGTCTGGAGCCTCCAACTTTTTATCTGTGACATGCCAACTGTGTGCAGCTGGAGTATGATTTTGAGGTCAGAGTCCCACCCCAGGCAGAGCACATACATTAGCTCTTCTTGTGTACAAATTACATTGGCGCCAGATAGTTTCTGTTGTCTTAGCGTAGCCCTCTGCCTCTCGTGTACTCTACAGATTTGTGCTCAGGAAAACCAATTTGTTATTAATCTACCAACAGACATTAGGAGGAGATAAAGTATATACAACCATGCTGTCACTCACACCTCCCATCCCAACTACTGGAGAATCATGTCCATCCAAAGGCTGCTTTTAAAAAGGGAGTTAAGCTCCTATACGTAACTTTTTTAACAAAAATTTTGTGGGTTTGCAGACTTAACCAAGGATATTTGTTTTCTTGTCCAGTATAAGTATATCCAGTATGAAAATTATATATGCGTGCATACAGATTTTTTATGTGTACTATGAAAGCATTTTTTTTTTAAATGTTCTCAACATCTGCCAAGTAGACCAATTCCTGTACTCTGTACACAGCATGGAATCAGTATCACATCCTCCACATAACTTTTCTAAGGTTTAAGGAATGCTCTCCTACCCTATTCTGGCTCTCCTCTAAAAAACAAGCTTAATTTCTTCAAGAAATGTTGAACATCAGGTAAGGGGCACTGTGCTGCATCTGTCTTCTGGCAGAGTGTGGCGGTGGGATAAGTCATTCCTGTTAACTTACTGTCTCCCGAATCGTGATGTCTCAGTCTCTGCTCTCTTACAGTCGGATGTTTCTGAGTAAAGCCTCCCTTTACTCAGAACAGCACTGTTCCTGGCAAGGGGACTACCTTACCAGATTGCCTCCTTACCTGCAGTGGCAAAATAAGCCCTGGTACCACTGCTGTGGGCTTGTTTAAAGGTGGGTGGCGGTGTCACCCTGGCTTGCTGCATCCGTGCCCAGGAGCAGTCTGTAAGATGAAGCCATCAGCTACCTGTGTTAATGAATAGGCGGTGCATCCATAAATGAGAAGATAAATAGTATGATTCCTTGTGGGGATTAAACTTGCCCACCAAGATCTTTATGAGTTCAATAAGGACCAGACTAAAAAACAAAATACAGTTCCAGTAGGTCTTACCAGTAATTCAGTGTGCTTAGTGTTTCTAAAACAACATCCTGATTTCGTAACTGTTCAAAGTTAAACATTATTTTACCAGGGAATGTAGAGTGACTGAAAACAGCCTTCATGACCAAATCCAAGCTTCTAGACAGCTGTTCTCAAGTATATTTTCATCAGAAAGACAATAAAACGGAAGAAATACGTATATAGTACAAATTAAATTGTCAGTGGAGCTGGGCTAAATGCTGCCCTCATTTCAAGCTTTGGACCTTCCACGGTGGGGAAAGCAAAGCTACGTCCCTGGAGCAGCCTGTGCCCTTAGGCTAGAGTGCAGCCCCTGCGGGTGGGGCTGAGGCATGCTTCTGTCCTTTGCCCATCCTGTCTAGACTCATACTCAATGCACAGAAGCTTGCCCTTTCCAGCAGTAGGCACACCATAAGGGACCTTGATTTTTTTTTCCCCCATTGGTTTAAACTACCTATGATATGTGAAGTGAGGTTAGGTATATTTACTGTGCTCACAGGTGGTGTTGCCAAGGTTGCTTTGAAACTTCAGAAATGAAGAAATAAAGACAGTCAAGTAGTTACCTCAGTCTCCTCTCTTTTCCCCTCTCTTACCCCTTCTCTTCCCCCCTCTCCCCGCTCCTCTAGAGACACAGCTCTCACTTGAGCCCAGGTCTGTAACACTCAGTCTTCCCACACTATAGCAGGCAGCTCTAGTTCCCTTTTGGAGTAAGTTAGCCCCTCTCTCTTCTTACTTTCCCCCGCAGGGACCAAAAGGGAAGGAAGATTGATCAGATCTTTCCAGTTTCTACTTAACACTGGTCTAAAATTTAGGGTAGTTGCACATGGCCTAACCACTGGTGGGCAGATGGTTATTCACACCAGGGAGCTTGCCCGGAAACACACTGCCCAGTACTCATCTTCCTCAGTGGAAGCCCCATTTCTTCACTGGTATGTGTTTGGGAGACGAGTTCTCCCAGGGATGCCTTGGTTTCCCCAGAAGGAAGGAGGTGAGATTTTAGGAATTTTATGTGACCTATGGGCCACTTTAGTGTGTCAGCTCTTCCCTGTGCTGCTCAGACCTATGTTCATTCCAGTGGGTCGAGCACAATTTTTTTTCTTCTGTTTTGACCTCTGCAGGAGTTGCTTTGCCCAGCCTCTGCAGTTTGGATTCTGTTTTACTCCAATATGTGACAAGACATAATTAGCTTTCTGTACTTCACCTCATGGCTGTAAACCTTTGTTCAAAGAATAGATTTGAAGCAGATTGCAGCTGATGTTAGAAATCGAGTGTCTAGGAACCTGGTGGCCTGTTACTGAAAACAGCTGAGTGGCCCTAGCCTTGCCTGGCTGCTCCAGAGGGGCTTCCTCAGCCCTAGAACTCTTGAAAACAGCAAAGGAGGGTTGATTCACTCATGGTTTCCCCCAGCAACAACGCCTTGTGTCTTGCCTCCCCCCTCCTGCCCTGTCTCAACCCCAACCACACACACCTGTGGTTTTATTTTGAGGAAGTGACAGAAAGTTACCATTGAAAGTAAGCTATGATACAATACCCATTTGTAAAGGTGTTTCCTCCGGATTTCTTTCTCAAGAGGCAAGAGTAGATGGTTGATGGGAATTTTGTAGTATCAACATCATGCGCGGTCTCAAGGCTGCTCGTCTGAAGCCTGCAGTGCTTCAAATTCTATAAAGCATAATGACTTATCAAAACCATGCCCTTGGTAGTACCTGGAGGATCTGATGAGTGTTCCACTCATTTCAGTTAAAAACGGGTAGACCCACCCAGAGGCAGCAGAGGAACAGAAGGCCCACCTCCTAGATTGTGAAAAGGTCTATTCATCTTCTGCAATTTAGACTAAAATTGTCCTACCCCATATGATGAACAGCCTCGATCTAGGGAGAATCCTTGATAAAAGCAAGTGCAGGTTTCCAAAACGGCAGGGTTAGAGCAGGTGTATGCTGTACGGTCATAAAGCCATAGCAGGTGTTGGCTTTGTTGGCCTTCAAGAGATGAGCTTCAGTCTCGCAGGTAGCATTTTTAGCCTGGTTCTTGCAAGATGGAATAACCAGCCACTTCACACATTTGTAAGCCAACTGTCCGCAACAGACCTGCCCCCTCAGTCCAGACACGTATCTAAGCCACCTGTCTGCAAGAGACCTGCCCCGTCAGTCCAGACATGTGTCTCTGCTCTCCTGTATCCCTTCAGAATTGGCAAAGGTACTGAGCCATTGGCAAGTCCCAGCCTGACTTCATCAAACTGCCAGGTGACTTTCCTGCACTCTGTCTCAGGGCTGAGGGGTACAGAAATGATCTCGCAGCCCTGGTGACTGGATCCAGAGACATGGTTTACTCATTACTGGAATTAGTTTCAAGTTCAAACATCACAAAACTACTTGCGGTTGCAGCTTGCTGCTGGATTTAGCCTTGGTGGTTGGTTGCTATTCAAATAACCACAAGACACATCTGGACCCACTCAGCAAGTTTTTTTTTGGAACAGACACAGGCCAGGCCCTGGGGCCTCCCTGGTGACCCTGGCTTTGGAGCAGACTGGCTTGTAGTCACCATTCATTAGATGTTTGCCGAGGGCCCAGTTAGTGTCAGGAGCTCTGCCAGATGCTGCAGCGCAGTGAGACACACTGAGCCCTGCCCTGCCCCCAGGACTCCCAGGCTCCTGTTTATGATCTTGCTGTCTTCAGCCCAACCTGGTCTGGGAAAACCTCCATCTTACCCCCTTTAGGGCCTGCTCTCTGCTCCATCCCCAGGCAGAGCAAAGTGCACCCCACACTTCCACGTACCTCTTCACCTACAGTTCTCACAGAGAACACAAGCCTGCCGTGTGGGGTCCCGAGCCTTGTGCAGGTGGTCTCAGCAATCTGGAATGCCTGTTCTTGTGAGATACAGTGACCCCAGAAATAGAAACACTCAGTGCCATTTTACAGGTGAAAAAACAGGCTTCATGCTTGAGTTAACTTGCCAAGAAGCACCGTGGAGTCACGGTTCCAAGCAGGTTCATGACTGTAGGGCCACCATGCCCATAGCCAGTGGCCAGTGCATGCATGTACTCCCATGTCTCTGGGCCAAGGGATGCAGGAATTCCCACAATGCGTGGATCCCAGGAGTGTGACGCGGGTGTGTCCTGAGCCTGTATCTCGAGTGTAGGCACCTGGTTCCCTTCTGATGAGACTTCAAGGTCCATCCCTGACCCAGCCATAGCCCGTTCCTGGTCTGATTTTGCTGAGAAAGAAAGACTCAGTGTCCATTGGGAAACAGATTGTGAGTGGCCTACATTTCTACACAAAGACCCTGCTTGCTGTTAGAGCCTCAGCCCCACACAGCCAGTGTCACCACCAAGTGGCTCCTCTGGCTACCAGTCAGCAGTGACTCAGGGACCATATTTACTCTAGGCTCCAGGCAAGAACTGGTCCTGTGGGTTGTCCCAGGAGGCTTTCATCACAGGGCCTGGTATGGGAATCCAAGCTGTGTTTGCTTGAGAAGTGGCAGGAGGGCTTTAAGTTAGACTTGGGGAAGAACTGTCGCAGAGTGAGGGCTGATTTGTTCCAATCCTGAGAAGGCCTAAAGACCCTCTAATGTGACCTGACAGAAGGTCACAGAGGGCAATACTCGGCCTTCAGGCTCTGATGCCAAACCCCCCTCTACACAGCCTGTCTCCATGGTCCAGCCTTGAGGATTTCCTGGTTGAGGAACTGACTAGCCCAGCCAAACTGGGTAAGGCCTGAGGCTGGAGAAAATGGCAAAAAGTGAAGATTCTTGAGGCCAGGCTGGGAAGCCCTGCCTCCCCTCCACTCCGGCCTGATGTGAAAAATGTCCCTCTTTTAGGGTGTTCATGCAGGCTGGCTCCTCCCTTATGAACCCCTCAATCATCGTTCATTCACATATTCAAGAATAAGGCAGGGAAGCCCTGCCTTATTGCTGACTCCCTGTGTTCAAGTTCCAGCTCTTTGCTTACCAGTTGTGACCACCTATTTACCTCTCTATGCCTCAGTTTCCCCATGTGCAAAGTGGGGAAATTGTACCTACCTGAGAGCCTCTGTTGTGAGGATAAGATGTGGTTCTAGATAGCGCTCCTGACCAAGGGTAGGGCCTCCTCTAGCACTCAGTGGGAAAGCGGAGGGATTCTGGGGGCTCAGTGTTGATCTCATACCAGATGATATATAACTAGATATCTGCTTTATTATAAGCAAAAGTTTATAATGATTAAATTGTACATTTTCTTGCAATTTTCTATTATTTCACAATTTAAAAGTTTTAAAAGTTTAAAGTTTGTATTTTGTGCCCCCCAATCTTATATTTATTCATTACCTTCTTCATTTTTGTTCTTTTTAATCATTTGAACACTCACTTGTTTCATCTGTGCATTAAAGTAAATCCTATCATTCTGACAAGACTATGAGCCCGCTGACGGAGGTCACTAAGGTAAAACATGAATTCCTGTCACTTCATGCTTTGGGCATCCCTTCTCTGCTGAGTGCCATGTGCTGTGTGAGGAGCAAGGCAAGCCATGGGGAGGCCACAGGAGGGAAGTGGAAAGGTAGCAGCTGATGGCCTGGGGCTGCTGTGGCTAGAGTGCATAGGACAGGGCAGCCTGGCCAGGCAGTTATGCAAGAGTGGAAAGACCACTGGGAGGAAGGGGAGGAAGTGCTGAGGGTCATAGACCCTGCACCCATGAGGGGAGGTCCTGCTTGCAGCAAGCCCTGCTGGCTGACTTCCTCTACCCTTCCCCTCACCATGCCCAAGTGAGCAATGCTGTGAGTCTGGCGTCTGTGCAGGGACCTCAAGGCAACATCGTGGGACAGAGAAGACCAGAGACAAACTGAGTGTCCATCATGGAGGGGACATTAACCGAATAATAAAGACAGCTGCTCAGCAGTAAGCCAAGTGCCCTGTGCTGCCAGGGGCTACCCTCCTGACATGAAGTTAAGTGAGGACAGTCATTCATTATATGACCCCACTCAATCCATTCTTTGTTTTCAACTTTTTATTAAAGTAAAACATACGGAATAGGGCCATCCACAAGCCTGCTGGGCTATGTTAATTTTCAGAAAGTGAGCACACTTGTGGAACAAATGTTATCAAGAAAAGGTCTATCACCTGCCACCTCCTGCTCCCCTCTAGACACTACTGAAACCCCGTCCCCGACCCAGGTCATCTGGCTTCCAACACCATAGACTGGTCTGGGCAGTTTTGAGCTTGGTAGACGTCTTATGTAAGTGTGCTTTGCACCTGCCTTCTCTCTCCCACCACATTGTGTCTGGAAGTTTCATCCATGGGTGTGGGATTTCCTTTTCACTGCTGAGTCGTGTGTCCTTCTGTGTAGGAAAATCCTAGGTATGTAAATGAAAATGACCAGAGAGAGAACTTGCAAGGCTGGTCATACCCAAGGCTGGTGACTTTCAGGGTGGCGAAGGAGGGCAGCAGTGACCGGAGGGGACCTGCCACACAAATCTTTCTGAGCTGGGTGTCAGTCCTTGCCCACAATAGTCCAAGGGGACCATGACTCTGAGTGCTTTCAGTGCCAACTGCCTTTGCCATGTCTCTCAACCTTGCAATCTGCCAATCTGGGCCACTAACTAGTCCTGCCCACCTGAGCCTGCAGTCAAACTGTCTGGATTTGAGCCACTTGCTATGTGACCTTGGACCAGTTCTATAACCTCTGAGCCTCCCAGACCACATCTACCTGACTCTAGAGCCCCAGGCTTTAGTGAGAGAGGCCCCAACCTCTCTTCAGGCATGCTGCTCCCCTCCTCACCTCTTCCTACCAAATCCCTTTCTGGGCAGAGATGGTAATCCCATTTCACTCAGGAGGAAATTGAGTGAGCTCTGAGTGTCCATTCTTTGAGCAAAATTTAAATTAAGGTCAGAATGTCTGTCCCAGCTGCCACTGGCACTCAGCCAGGCTCACACACTAGAGATACACCTAAGGCTTGCACACACTCCCATGGAGGTATTCATTCACTCAGTGAAAGATGCAGTCACTATGCAAATATTTGTGGAGGGCCCACTGGGCGCCAATGTAGGCCAAGTCCTTGCTCTAATGGGGCTCACACTGTAGTAAGGAGAGACATTGTAAAAATAAAATACAATAGGTAATATGCCAGTTGTGATAAGTGCTTTGAATAAAGACAGAAAAGAAGCATGGCGGAAACATGAAGTTTTGATATTTTATATGTAGTTATCATGGAAAGCCTCTCAGAGGAGGTGCCATTTGAGTAGAAACCTGGAGAAAGTGAGGGAGGGAGGGAGTTACAGATCTGGAGAAGATGGTCCAGATGGAGCCTGACAGGGAAGGCGCTGAGGTGGGGGCAGTTTTGTGTTCCAGGAGCAGCAGAGAGGCCAATGGTGGTGGGATGGGGGCAGAGGGAACCAGGAGGAGTTGGGCAGCAGATGGGCACCCTCCAACCCGTGGGGCCTTGCGGGCCACAGGGAGGACAAAGACAAGCATGTCCTCGCACACATGCGTGCGTGTGGCCACCCACGTCGCCACCATGGCGCCTGGGGAGTCCCATAAACTGAAAGAAGGAAGCCCTTTCTGAGCCCCGCTCCAGCTCCCTCCTGCGCCTAGCCCAGCTGCGACAGCAGCGACTTCCTCTTTCTAGCCCATTTAAGGCCCAGCTGGGAGCGCACAGAGTAGTGAGGCCACACGCAGCACCAGCATCGCCATGGGGGATACCTTCATCCGCCACATCGCCCTCCTGGGCTTCGAGAAGCGCTTTGTCCCCAGCCAGCACTATGTGAGTAGTGGGGATTGTGGGCAAATGGCTCCCGGTCTCTGGGCCTCAGTCTGCCGATCCGGGCCCTCAGTGGACATGGGCCCCTTAAAAACACGCCAGCCCACTTCACTCCCCGCTCCCTTGCCCCAGCCAGGAGTCCTTTGTGCCTTCCCAGCCGTCAGCCAGCGCTCACATCCACGGTGTGTTCCTATGGGCAGCCCTCCCTGACCATCCCCATTCTTAGGGACTGATCTGGAGGGCTGGTGGCTGGCTTTCTGTCCTCCCAGCTGCCTGTGGAATTGGTGTCCTCAGAGTCGTATTTCTGCCAGTAGAGTGACACCACCATAGGGGAAGGAGGGAAAAATATCCCCACTCCCCACTCTTGCCCCTGGGGTGGGGAAGTGTCCGCCCAGACATGACCACCCCACTATAGGTTCCCCAAGCTCAGAAGAAGTCCAGGGAAGATCCAGATATATTCTCTTTCTCTTTCTCTTTCTCTCCCTCCCTCCCTCCACCTCCCTCCCTTCTTCCCTCCCTCCTTCCCTCTTTCTCTTTCTCCCTCCCCATTTCCTTCCTTCTCTGCATATAAATTTTCTGAAACACTTCAGAGTAAGTTGGAGACATTATGTTTCTTAACCTCCAAATACTTAAAATCAAAGACATTCTCTTACATAACCACAGTGCAAATGTGTCAAAATCAGGAAATTAACATTGTTACGACACTGTTATCCAGCCCACAGACTTTATTCAGATTTCACTCATTGTCCTATTTGTCCTCTGTAGTAAGAATTTTTAGGTCCAGGATCCAATCCAAGATCACCTGCTACATTTCAGTTGTCATGTCTCTTCAGCCTTCTTTCATCTGGATCAGCCTTAATGAGCCTTTCTGTGTCCTTCTCAAATTTGACATTTTGAAGAGATGGGGCCAGTTATTTTGTAGACGGTCCTTTGATTTGAGTTCATCTGATACTTAATTAGATGCAGGTTATGCATAGGTGACAGGAATACACCAGAAGTGAGCTGTGTTCTTCTCATTGATCATATCAGGTGGCAGACAGTTGCAACTTGTTCTCATGTTGGTGATGCTAAGTTGATCGTCATGTCCTGGACATGTCTTCCAAGTTTCCCTACTGTAAAGTTACTATTTTCCCCTTTGAAATTAACAACTAACTGGTGGGGAGATTATTTGAAGCTATGCGAGCATTCTGTTTTTATAGTACATTGATGGCTCTTGCCTGAATCAAATTACTGTAATGATTGCCAAATAGTGATTTTTAAACCCTGTCATTCCTTCTGCATTTTTAGTTAATATTTTATTGTAAGGGTCTTTTCTCCTCTCTATTTATTTATTTACTTCTGTCAGTATGGATTTTGATTCATTCAATGGGTTATATAATCCATTACTATCATTACTTATTTTGATGCTCAGATGGTCCCAGATTTGGCCAGTGGGAGCTCCTTCAAGTCCTAATGTATTCATTTCAGTTATTGTATTCTTCATTCCTGACTGGTTCATTTTCATGGTTTCTATCTCTTTGTTATCTCACTGAGTTCATCTATTCTCCTCTCTAATTCATTGAGCATCTTTAGAACCAGTGTTTTGAACTCTTTATTTTATAGATTGCTTGTCTCTATTTCATTTAGGTTTCTTTTCTGGGGTTTTGTCCTGATCTTTTGTTTGAGACGTATTTTTCTGTTTGCTCGTTTTGGCTGTTTCTCTGTTTCTTTCTATGAATTAGGTGAAAGAGCAACCTCTCCCAGTCTTGAAGGAGTGGCCTTGTGTAGCAGCTACCCCTTTGTAGAATGCATCTGCTGTCTTTGGCAGGCCAGCTAGAGCTGGAGTATTTGTGGGATGAAGGGAGTTCCAGGGTCAAGCTTTATTGGGGCCTGGAGCTGTAGCTGGAATGGTCACAGGCCAGGGGAAGTCCCTAGGGGCAAGCTGTGCTGGGACTGCCTTGGCAGGCCAATTGGAGCTGTAACAGGCCGGTTGGAGCAGGCTCAGGCTTCAGGTAGTCCCAGGGGCAAGCTGAACCAGGGCCTGGAGCTGAAGCCTATGTGGTCTGCAGGAAGTCCTGGGGACAAGCCACACCTAGGTGGGAACTGTAGCTAGGGCATGTGGGAAGCTGAAGGAAGTCCTGGGGCAAGCAGTGGAGCTGCTTTGGGTCGGGGGCTCACTGGGATGGCTTTGGCCTATAATGAGTTCTTGGATCAAGCTCTTCCCTTTGTCATCAAGGGGGAGGAAGAAGGCCACAAATGGTGCTAGTCTGATGCCTGCAACTCTGGGGAGAGTTCCCGCAGCTCCCCTCCAGCTTGGCAGATACTCTAGGGTTAGTAAATGAATTTCCCTCCTGTATAGCATAGGTGTCCTTTAAACCAGCGGTCCCCAACCATTTTGGCATCAGTGGCTGGAGGGGCTCCTATGAGAATCTAATGCCTGATGATCTGAGATAGAGCTGAGGCAGCGATGGGGAGTGGATGCAAATACAGATGAAGCTTCGCTTGCTCACCTGTCGCTCACCTCCTGCTGTGCTGCCTGGTTCGTAACAGGCCCAGACCAATACTTGGGGATCCCTGCTTTAAACCAGTTTTTTTCTGCTGTGCCCAGGGCAGACATGTCTACTTGGGCCCTTCCGGGACCCTCCTGCCTGCAAGGAGGTGGGGTGGGGTGGGGTGCCCTCAGCGCCATCTCTCTAAATTTCCTACCAGTTTCTTCTGTGTGGTCACTCTTGTTTGTTGTGCAAAAGCTGTTCAGTCAGCCCTCGGTTCTTCTTCAAGGGGAACTGCTCTGTCTGTAGGTGTAAATTTGTTGTGTTCGTGGGAGGAGGTGAGTTCAGTGTCTTCCTACGCCACCATCTTGGACCAGAAAGCTCCTCCTTGTGGATTTTATTTCAGAAGCTCCTCCTTGTGGATTTTATTTTTAAATATGTAAAATATTCACATGTGATCAGATATCAAAACTTCATAAAAATATACTCAAAGACTCATTCTGGTTCATGTTGTCTGTATTTCTCTTCGCAAAATTAAGTGCATACATATGTGAATATTTTCTTATTATTCTGTCCTAACTACACACAGATAACAAACAAGGAGACATAGTATATGTACTTTTTTTCATTTTCCTATAATATCCGAGAGTTCTCTCCAAATTAATTCATTGAGTCTCTAATTTTTTTGCATCTTTATAATTTTCCATTGTGTGATTATGCCATTGTTTCTCCAAACAACCATTTAGATAGTTTTTTACTAATTTGCAATCACCTAATCATCCTGCATTTATATTATTATGAGTAAAGTTGAACATCTCTTTACACGTTTAAGGGTTACATATATACATGAGTGTGCCATGAAACATCCGATGCCTTTTGCTCATTTTTTCTATCAGAGTTTTTGTCTTCTTTCCTTCAAATTAAAAAAAAAATTTTTATATTAGGAACATTAATCATTTATGTATTGTATTGAAACTATTTTCTGTTTATTGTTTGTACTTTGGCTTTACTTACAGTTTTATATGCAAAAGTTTGGAAAATTTTTGATGTATTTGAAACAGGCATCTTTTCTTTCTTGCGTTCAGGTTTTGAGTCAGATAGAACATCTTCCCATATATCCATGTTTCCTTCTTGTGTTACCAACCAAAGTTGGTGGGTGGGTCCTTTGTCAGTCACATACAGAGAGGCTGGATTCTGGAGCGACAGGTTTATCGCAGAGAAAAGTAGGTTTTGTTCCTGAGGCAGCTGGATGAGGAGAGAGGGAGAAACCCCAAATTTGCCTCCCCAAATAAAAATGTGAAGCAAATTTAAAGAGCAAGGTGAGGAGGGGCTATGCATATTAATTAATTAATTCTAGATAGTCTTGGAACTAAGCTATCTAAGGTCAGCAATGTGAAAGAGAGCAGGACAGAACAAAGTAATTTCAATCTGGCAGATTTTGACTGGTCAGTGGTCCTATATGTGTTCATGTTTAATCAATAAGGGTTCTTCCTTATCGATGGAACTCTCGCTTCTTAAAGGATTCCGATGGCAAACAGCGGCACCTCTGTTACTTGAGTTCCAAGAACTTTGGATCCATTATGCTCTTGACGTCAGCTTAGGGTCATTTGGCTGCTAACTGTACCTGCTCAAGCCTCTGGGACTAGTTTGATGTGTCTAGGTCTGCTGGTCTCTGGAGTACTATGAAGAAGCCTGGTGTTAACTACTGAAAATCGCTAAAAAAGAGGAAATAAAACTATTATGGTCTGGTTTCAGTGTTAGGTCCCTCGGGGGCCACCTGGATTTCAGTGTGAGGACCAGTTTCACTTGCACTTATATGGTTTCAATTTTTTCATTTAGATCTCTGATTCATTTGGAGTTTATTGTGCTGTGTGGTGTGAGAAACTAATCCAATTTTACCTTTTCCTAAAAGGCTAGTTAGTTGTCCCAACACCAATTTTTAAACAATCCACCTTTACTTCTGTGATTTGAAATGCCATTTTTATCATATCCTAAATTTACGTAAATACTTGATCTATTTCTAGATTTTCTATTTTGTACCACGGTTTTTTCATTTATAGTATGATGCTGCTGTTTTTTAAAGTTATTGTGATAAAATATACATAATAAAATTTATCAACCATTTTTAAGTGTAAGTTTGGTGGAATTAAGTATATTCACATTGTTGTGCAGCCATCGCCACCATCCATCTCTAGAACTTTTTCACTCATCACAGACTGAAACTCTGTACCCATTAAACACTAACTAACTTCCTATCCCTCCACCCCAGTCCCTGGCACCCACCATTCCACTTTCTGTCTCTATGAATTTGGCTGTTTGGGGTATCTCATATTTATGGAATCATATCATGTTTGTTTGTGTGTGTGTGTCTGCCTTATTTCACTTAGCATAATGTTTTCAAGGTTAATCCATGTTGTAGTGTCTATCAGAATTTCCTTCCTTTTGAAGGCTGAATATATCCTATTGTATGTATGTACCATATTTTGTTTATTTACTTATCTGTCAAAGGATACTTGGGTTGCTTCCACCTTTTATCTATTGTGAATAATGCTGCTATGAACGTGGGTGTACAAATATCTCTTCAAGACCCTACTTTCAAATCTTTTGGATATATAACCAGAAATGGAATTGCTGGATTATATGGTATATGTTTAATTCTTTTGAAGAACTGCCATGCTGTTTTTCACAGCACCGCCCCATTTTACATATCTAACAGCAAAGCACAAGGGTTCCAATTTCTCCATATCCTTGCCAGCACTTGTTTTTTTCTTCCTGTTTTCCATATTTTTAAATAGCAGCTCTCCTAACTGGTGTGAAGCACACTGTTTTAATTATAAAGGTTTTATAGTCTGTTTTAATATATGACAGGGATAGTCTCTCACATACCTCTTCTTTTTAGCTATTATTTTGCCCCCAGGCTTATTTATTTACATCTCTATATGGTTGTTTTTGTGCATAAATGACAGAGTCGAGTTGTTAGGACAGAGACTGGAGAGCCTGCAGAGCCTGAAGTATTTACTATGTGGCTCTTTACAGAGAAGTTTGTTGAGTCCCCTTGTCTGAGATCTGAAGTAGAATGCTCATATCTAATCGTGAACATTAGAGTCACCTGTAGTTTATCCTGAAAGCTGCCTGAAGTTCATCATACTCGTCTTCCTCTTAAACGGCTTTATTGACATAATTTATACACCAAATAGGTCACCCATTTAAAGTGAAAGAGGATTTTTTTTTTTGGTATGTTTACCAAGTTGTCCAACTATCACCATAATCTAGTTTTTAGAACATTTTTATCATCACCAAAGAAACCTTGTATTCTTTGGTAGCTATTCTTTTTATTCCCCCAAGATTTTATTCTGAAAATTTTCAAACACAGTTACAGCTAAGTGGAAATTATTTTACAAACAAAACAAAAATAACCCCCACCCCAAACCAGCCACTCATACATCCACTACCTAGGCAATACCATTTACATTTTCTTATATTTGCTTAATCACTTATGTATCCACCCATCCATCATCTGTCTTATTTTCAGTGCATTTTAAAGCAAAGGGCAAAAATCAGTATTCTTTGCCCTAAATACTTCGGCATACGTATCGCTAGAGTTTAGTATTGTTTATAGGTTTTTTTTTTTCTGTTTTGATATAAAACTAACATAAAATAAAATCCATCAATTTTAGAGATATATTTGCTGAGTTTATGATGGTGCATGTCCCTATGTAACCCAAACCCTCATCAAGACAGAGAATGTTACCATCACTCCAGAACATTCCCTCATGCCCCAGTCATTCCTTTCTTGTCCTTCAGAGATAACCACTGTTCTGATGTTTTTCTGTCTTAAATTAGTTGCACTTGCTGTGGAAAGTCCTGAATATAGACTCATACACTGTGTGGCCTTTGGTGTTTGACTTTTTTCTTCCTTTTTCTTAAATTAATTAATTAATTAATTGATGAATTAATTTATGGTGACATTGGTTAATGAAATCCAATAAGTTTCAGCTGTACACTTTAACAGTAAGGCATATATATATTTACAGTGTGTGTTCACCTTCCATAGTTAGATTTCTTTCTCTCACCACATATTTGACCCCCTTTACACCGTCTACCTCCCCCGACTCTTCTCCCCCTTACCCTCTGGTATCCACTAGTCTACAGTCCATGTCCATGAGTCTCTGTTTGTTTGTCCTGTTCATTTGTTGCTTTTAGGTTTATATCCCACATATAAGTGATATCATGTGATTTTCAACTTTTCCTGTCTGGGTTTTCGCTTAGCATGATTAACTCGAGATCCATCCATGTTGCCACAAATGGCACTATTTCATCTCTTCTTATGGCTGAGTAATAATTCTATTGTATATATGTACCACAGCTTCTTTATCCAGTCATCTATTGTAGGACACTTCGGTTGCTTCCTTGTCCTGACTACTGTGAATAATGCTGCTATGAACATTGGTGTGCAAATATCTTTTCGGATATGAGTTTTCAAGTCTTTGTGTTAAATATAATTGCTGGATCATATGATAGATCACTTCTTAGTTTTTTGAGGATCCTCCTTACTGTTTTCCGTAGTGGCTGTACCAATTTGCAGTCCCACCAGCAGTGTGTGAAGGTCCCTTTTTCTCCACATCCTCTCCAACATTTGTTATTATTTGTTCTGTTGATTATAGCTATTCTAACAGGTGTGAGAGATGTTTGACTTTTTTCACTAATGCTTTTGAGATTAATCCAGGTTGTTGCATATATCAGCAATTTGTTTCTTTTTGTGGCTGAGTAGTATTCTAGCTATTTCGTAGGTTTATTTTTCTTTACTGATTTTTTAAAATAATGGCTTTATTGAGATATAATTCCCATATAATATAGTTCACCTGCGTAGGTGTACAAGTCAGTGGTTTTTAGTATATTCTCAGAGTTGCGCAATCATCACCACAATCAATTTTAGTAGATTTTCATCACCCCAAAGGAAACCCTGTACCCACTGCAGTTATTTCTCATTTCCCACCCCCTTCTACACCCTTCTGTTCCTGGCAACCACTAATCTACTTTCCGTCACTACAGACTTGTCTATTCTGGACATTTAATGTAAATGGAACCATACGATACCTTATTGAGTTCTTGTATTGTTTGAGTTTGGCTCTTTCTATATCTCATGTCCTGAAACTCATACTAGCCCTAGCGTGAGGTCCTACTTTTATCTCCAATTGACAGATGAGGAATTAGAGTTAGTAAGAGAGAAGCCGATTATCTTGCCCTGGGTCCTGAAGCTGGAGAGTGACAGCTCTGGGGTCCATGAAGTTGGCGCCCTTCCTATGGCCCAGGTTGCCCCCAAAAGCACTCTCCCCCAACTGCCAGTCCTCCAGACTTCCACCGGGGGTGGAGTGCTGCCCAGGTGCATGGCAAGGCCCTGTTGGAAGCTCAACGAGGTCTTCTCACCCTGGCTGCCCCCCAGGTGTACATGTTCCTAGTGAAGTGGCAGGACCTGTCTGAGAAGGTGGTCTACCGGCGGTTCACCGAGATCTATGAGTTCCACGTGAGTGCTCAGTGGGAAGGGTTCAGGGAGGGGACGCCACACCCAGTCTCAGCTCTGCTTTTTGGGGAGGAGATGGCCCCAGGTGCCGACTGGGAGCTGAAGAACCCAGAGGCTCCCCACCACCAGCCCACAGTTAAGGGGGCATGTTTCTAACTTTAAAAAGATTTTACTTAAAGTATTTTTATTGTGGTAAAATATACCTAACATAAATTTACCATTTTAACAATTTTAAGTGTTCAACTCAGTGGCATTAAGTACATTCACAATGTAGTGTGATGATCACCACCATCCATCTGTGAAATATTTTCATCTTCCTACACAGAAACTGTATCCATTCAGGATGAACCCAAGGGGGCACTCTTCAGGCATGTGCTTGCTCTATCCCTGCAGCGGGCAACCTAGCCAGTGTCACCATCGTGGTTGTCATCCCAGGAGCTTAGACTTTTGCTCAGGGTCTCTGGCCTGATGAGGATTGCTGGTGGATCAGAAGGAGGGTTGACAATCATGACATCCAAGAAACCGGGTCCTCTTCTTTATGGGTGCCTGCTGTTACCAAGTTTTACATGAGCAAATCCCATAGGCTCTAAACAACATAAGATCCTCACACCAGTGACTGCTGGATGGAATTGAGGGTGGTCATTTGTGGGGTTATAGTGTGCAGAGCTTGGCTGCTGGTTCCTGGTCTGAGATAGGGTCAAGTGGATGGAGGTCCACAGAAGCCAGATGGGTCTCCCAAGAACCCACTCTACACATAGGGCCCTTCCTAACTGGGGAGGGAGTCCTGGACTGTGTGGGTTCCTCTTATGTGAGAAATGAAAGTGAAGTACATTAAATGCGAAGAAGACTATAACCAGCCCTGCACCCCTAGCACTTGGCATCACAACTGATGTCACTGGGCTGTTTGCTACAAGGCTTTTTTAAGATAAGGGAAATAAAGCATTATAAAAGAAGTGGAAGGCTCTCTTTATCCCATACCCCATCCCAGCTCCTTCCCTGGGTGACTGCATGCGCACGCGCGCGCGCACACACACACACACACACACACACACACACACACAGCCCAAGAGCAATATGCAGTAGTGTTGAACATGCATTTCCTGTAGTCTATATAAAAGCTGTCAGTGTGCCACTGGCTTCCTTCTCCATCTGGGTGCTGGATTGAGGACAGACAAGGGTGGAAGGGGATGTTGTGAAATCTAGGCCTGGCGGAAGCTCGGCCCAGGGTGGTAGCAGTGTGGGTAGTGAGAAGGGTCAGATTCTCTGGGTAGATACTGGGAGTAGAATCGAAAGGATTTGCTGGTAGCTTGGATGTGAGGGGGGAAAGAAAGAGGGATCAAGGATGCCACCAGAACTTTCTGCCCAAGTGACTAGAAGGGTATTTAGGTCATTTCCATTTTGTGCTTTTACAGTGTTGTAATAAGAAATACTCCTTAATATCTTCTTTTCTGTGCAGAAAACCTTAAAGGAAATGTTTCCTATTGAGGCTGGGGACATCAACCCAGAGAACAGGATCATTCCCCACCTGCCAGGTGAGGGGCTCAGTCACCTGGGCCGGGTTACTTGTCCTGGCTCCCCACACCTGCCCTCTAAGCTGCCCCCTTCACCCCCTACTCCCGCTTAGACTTGATCTTGAGAATGTGCTCACCGCTTCTTTGGTGCCCCTTCTGGTCTGGTTAGCACCACGGTGGTTTGATGGGCAGCGGGTAGCCGAGAGCCGCCAGGGCACACTCACTGAATACTACAACGCACTCATGGGCCTGCCTGTTAAGATCTCCCGCTGCCCACAACTCCTGGACTTCTTCAAGGTGCGCCCCGACGACCTCAAGCTCCCCACGGACAGCCAGTGAGTGGCCTCCTTGTCCCGTTCCCAGGCAGGTGGGAGACGAAATGAGGTGGTGAACCCCACCCTGGAGGCGGGCGGGACTTTCCCCATGTTACAGATGAGGAGACCGAAGCTCGGGCGGGGAAGCAACTTGCCTAAAGTCACACAGCTGGAAAGAGAAGGAGGCATGATTCCAACTCTGGCCCATGTTATCTGGAACCATCCAGCATCATTTCCAAGTCTCCATCTGGACCCCCCTGAGTGTCATGGAGCCGGGGGAGGTACTCCGGGCCAGAGGCTTGAAAACCTTCTGAAAGCAGTTTCTCTACGTGTGATGGGGGCGAGGGCCAAATGTAGTCCTGGGCGCAGTGGAGAGTGATTACAGAAGGTGAAGTGAGAGCCCAGAGGAATGTGGCAGTGGCCTCTGTTAATTGCTGAGCAAGTCTCAGGCCCCTGGCTCCCTTTTGTCACCTCATTCTCTGCTTGCCTTTGCCCTAGGGTCTCTGTCCTCAGGGCCCTGTGTGGAAGGCATCTGAGAGGCTGAATGAGATTCCAGGGGAACAGGCTGAAGGTCCCTCCCTCTGTCCCTCTCTGGTCACTGACCAGAAGACAGGATGGCCATAGACAGACAGGATTGCTCCAGCCAGTCCTTATTAGCCCCTGAATGCACTCCTGGTGCAGGGAAGGACAGCTCCTACCAGCCCCGTTGGTGAGAGAGCCCACTTCCTATGGGCTCTGGTCCAGGGAGCTAGCCACTGACAGGAGCCTTTCCCAGACCCAGCGCATTGCTCTAGCCAGCTGGGGAACGAGGCCCTTGCTCTCTTCAACAGCTGGCACCTTCTCCTTGGGGTCTGCCGAAGGCTTAGGTCCCTCCTTGGGCTGGCCAAGCAGCTGCCCTGTCCTTCCCAATGCCCTTTCCTTGCCAGTCCAGTCACTACCTTCTCTCTGTATTGGCCCTCATTTCCACATTCCTTTTCCTTGTGGGAAATTCTTCTGTAGGTCCACCGGGAGTGTTCCATTCCCCTGTGGGAAGCCGAGTGTCTAACCCAGACTGTTCTCTCCTGCAGGGTGAAAAAGCCAGAGACATACCTGGTGCCTAAAGATGGCAAGAGTAATGTTGCAGGTGAGAGGCCCAGGGGCAGCCAGTGCGTGTCCACCTGAGACTTGCCTGGAGCTGGGTGGGGTTGGGATGCCAGTGCCAGTTGTGGGAGAGCCAGGAAGAGGCAGCCCACCCCTGCAGTGTGTCCACTCACCCTGCCCTCCCTCTGCCCAGACATCACAGGCCCCATCATCCTGCAAACCTATCGGGCCATCGCTGACTATGAGAAGAGCTCAGGCTCTGAGATGGCTCTGGCCATGGGTGACGTGGTGGACGTCGTGGAGAAGAGCGAGAGTGGTCAGCCTCCTGCCCTGCCTGAACCGCCCTCCCCTGTTGCCTGGGCTAATGGACATAGCCCCCACCAAGGCTCTGCCTCTCAGGCAGCCTCAGGCCTCCTCCCCACCTGGCCCATTTGGGCCTTGACTGTCCTCCCCACATTGTGGATCACCCTCTTTCTGAGCGTGTACCCTGTGGCAGCTGTGGGTGTCTGCACATATTGTGTACCTCACTGCGCACCTCTGGGGATCGCATTCAGGTGGGGCGGGCGAATTCCTCATCACATGTGTGAAGTGGGTTCCGAGCTGTGATTCTGTGATTGTGTGTGTGTGTGGGTGTGTGTGACTTTGATGTGGAGTATGGTGAAGGTGATATTTCTGAATCCGAGTGTTGGATGTTGGTGGGTCTGTGTCTGAGTGTCCTCACCACCTGATGGCTGAGGGAGGCTGCCAGGCCAGACCTGACTTACCACCCCATGCCCCTGACACAGGTTGGTGGTTCTGCCAAATGAAGACAAAGCGTGGCTGGGTCCCGGCATCCTACTTGGAGCCTTTGGACAGTCCTGACGAGGCAGAGGACCCAGAACCCAACTATGCAGGTGCCCCCTGACCTCCATGGCAGTAGGGGTATGGGAGGAAGGAGTGGGAAGGGCCTGGGGATATTGAAAAGCCACAAGTGACTACTTTGGGGTCAAACATGTCGAAGGCTGGGCAGAGGGGGAGTCAGGGTTAAGACCCACAGTCTGGCTTGGTTTTGGTAGGAGGCGATGCTCTTGGTCAAAGCAGGAAATCAGGAGGTGGAATAGAGGTGGCAGTTGGCTGGGGCCAGGTCCAGTGGGAAGCTGAATAATGAGCAGACCTGAGGCTCAGGAAGGAGGGCTGCCTGGAGGAGGTGGCATTATCACTGATTAGAAGGCGTGGATGGGGCTCTTGTGGAGTTTGAAAAAAATAAGGTTACCCATAATTTAAAAGTGAGATTTCATAATTTTATATGGATTTTTGGTTCCTCTTTAAAAACTGGAAAAGGTGCGTACACTGGGCCCGAAGCCCCCTTATGCCAACAGTTGGCTAGAGTCGAGTGGCTAAGGTGCCATGTAGCTGGGTGCTCCACCCCTATACTTCCCACCCGACTTCTCCTCTACTTAGGTGCCTGACAAGGCCTCAGCAGTCGTGGGAGGTCCTGGCCCCTGGTGTGAATGGTGGTGGTTGAGAGTGGGCAAATTGCCCTGAGTCGAGTGGGTAGAGGGCAGAACTCCACGGTGCCCCACAAGTTGCTGGAAGGAGCCTGCAGAAAGAGACCAAAAAGGACCAGCTGGAGGAAGCCCCAGGCCCAGAGAGGACAGGAGAGGTGGCGAACCTCATGCTAGGCAGATCCTCATACCTTGCCCCTTCCCTCGCCGTGAACCAGGAGAGCCCTACGTCACCGTCAGAGCCTACGCTGCTGTAATGGACGATGAAGTATCCCTGCAGGAGGGAGAAACCATAGAGGTCATTCACAAGCTCCTGGACGGCTGGTGGGTCATCAGGTAGGAGAACACACCCTCCCTTCACTATGCCTGCCCTGAGAGTCAGCCCTGGCCTGTGGCAGGGCTGTTTGGGCTCAGTGCTGATGTCCACTTGGTTGTGTGACACTGGGTAAGCCACTGGCCCTCTTTGGGCTCAGCTTCCATTATGGTAGCAGATGAATGATAATCCCACCCTATCTCTCAGATCCAGTGTCCTTGTCAGAGTGGGTACATTTTTCCTTTGTGACTTGAGGTCACTTCCCCTGACTGGTCCATCTATTATTCCTTCTTCAGCAACACAACAAATTGCTGTATTAATCATTATGCTTGATAACTGGTAGAACAGATTTGTCATCCCTTTTCCTTTTACATCTTTCATTGCAATTCCCTTGTTATTCCTCCAAATGAATGCAGGAATACTGATCTCCCCTTCCCCACCAGTTCTGGGGAAAGCAGAATCCCCGGGGCTTGTAGAGCCATTTCCCTAGAGCCACTGGGCCTTCCCAGGTCCTTGCACATGCTTTCAGAGTCTTGGGTCACAGGGCCGGTCCATGATCCCAGTGAACTTGCGGCCACAACACTCATCCTCAGCATGGCCCTGGTTTGGAGGCTTTGAGACAGGGTTTCTCAACCTATTAGACCCACACTCAGTTAACCCCCTTCATGCACCCCTGGGAATCTGCTTGTGATGCTCCCACTGGGCAAGAAGAATCAGTTTTAGTGAGTGAAGTGTGTATTAGTCAACATTTTTTTCACTCCCGAATGTAATAGTGAGAATGAAAAAAATCTTTTCAACAAATGGTGCTGGAACAACATCATCAACAACAACAACAACAACAACAACAACAACAACAACAACAACAACAGAGCTAGACACCTACCTCACACCATACACATTTGGGATGATGGATCACAGGTTTTACCAAGCACAAAAACCCAAACTGAAAAGCTTTTGGAAAAAAGCTTTTCCTAGGAGAAGTTGGTGATGTGGAGTTGGGCAAGCAAGTTTCTTAGAACACACAAGGCGATCACCATATAAAGAAATACTAACAAATATAGTATTGCAGATATTTTACAGCAAATCTCCCTGGGAAGATTTAGATCTGCAAATTTCCTCCCCCTTCCAATGTCACAGCCGGGAAGGCCTGTGTTGCACAGATGAGGAAACTGAGGCCCAGAAGGACAGGGTCTGGTGTTGGCCAGTACAGGTGTCTGCAACATCCCAGCTGCCTTGACCCCAATTGTTTAGCGGGAACCCTGATATCCCCACTGCCGGGGGCTTCTGTCTCTGTTGCAGGAAAGAAGATGTCACCGGCTACTTTCCATCTATGTACCTACAGAAGGCAGGGCAGGACATAACCCAGGCTCAATGCCAGATCAAGAAGCGAGGGGCGCCGCCCCGCAGGTGAGCGAATCCCTGGAGCTGGGGCACTGGGCGGGGCTGGGGAGGGTGTAGCTGCGTTCCTTCGGTCGGTCCTGGATTGGCAGGGTTAGAACAGGTGAGACAGGGCAAGAGCTCCGAGCCTGGAGAGGGAGGAGGCACCTTCACCGGGTCAAGAGCCCGGACATGCCCCTCCTCCGACCTCGCACCGTGGGGCTGACACCGAGGCGTTGGAAAGCAAGAGTGTAAGGTGGAGAAGGCGCCGATGACCTGAGTCCTTGGGGATGGTCCGTGAGGCAGTCCAGAGGGCTTCCAGGAGGAGGCCGCCTGAAGGCTGGCGAGGGGCGTGGGAAATGGGCCTTGACTCTGCGGCGCGGCAGGGGTCCGCGTCAAAGGGCAGTCGCCTCTGGCCGTGCCAGACCTCCCCTTCCCCGCTTCCCTCTGCCCGTCCCTACTTCCTTGGTCCAGCCGTTGGACCCCAGGGGTGGCCCTACGAGTCCCCGTGGGCAGGGACGTGAGCGCGCGGACGCCGGGGCGATGACCAATGCCCCCACTCCGCTGGGCCCAGGTCGTCCATCCGCAACGCGCACAGCATCCACCAGCGATCGCGGAAGCGCCTCAGCCAGGACGCCTATCGGCGCAACAGCGTCCGCTATTTGCAACAGCGCCGCCGTCAAGCGCGGCTCGGGCCGCAGAACGCAGGGAGCCCGCGGAGTGAGTGTCCAACGGAGCCTGGGGGCGGGGCGGGGCCTGGGGGCGGGGCCAGGCGCTTCCGGACCGCAGAGC